CAGCTTCAAAACTCTGCTTCTACTCCTTTCTTTGCCTAACTGTGTTCAAGGCTTTGCTCTAGTTCACCGGGTTCGTTCGTTTGGGTGTTCAAACGTCGAACCGTAGCACGTTTTATTCTGGGAAACCTAGGCCCCAACGCTCCTAGCACTTTTGGGAGGTGGCAAATAAGATTTTAAGGAAAGAGTGATCTCTTGACTCGCGCTAAAAACCCTATACCCATACACGAGCCATCTTTTCCTTCTTTCGATTTTGGATTATGCTTCTAAGCAAAAATCCTCTCTCTATTTGATCTAGTTGTGGATTGGAATATAATATATCTGAGGATTATACGTTCCAATTTTGATTGATATATATTTGTACATCTTTTCTATAGATATATATGTATATATAACCGTGGGGATCTGATTTATATATATTTGTGTGTGTGTGTGTGTGTGTGTATATATCGAATAATATTTTATATACTTTTATGTGTAAATATAAATATTATTTTGCGATATTAAATCGATTTTGGTTCATTATCACCAACAGTCATTACATATTTTTTTCATTAGAAGGTCATGTTCTCATATAATCTTTTATATATATATATATATATATATATATATATATATATATATATATATATATATATATATATATATATATATATATATAAATATATATATATAATATTAATCAAATGTAGATGGTGTGCTCCGGTGCGAACGTGGGGAGAGATGAAAGTCATTGATTTTGGCAAGATCAACGTTCAGGATTAGCAAGGATTAAAAAAACGTGGTGACAATTTGGTCTTTTTACGTTTAGGTCAAACTTAAAGTGCGTGGTTTTCCTTCTTAAGGTGCGTCGTTTTCCTTCTTAAGGTACGTGATTTCTGTGTTTAAGGTGTGTCAGTTCTTTAGTTGAGAACTTAAGGTGGATTTTTTTGTTGAAACTTTAAATTGCGTCAGTCTAAAGCTCTAGGTGCGTCTTTCTATAGCTTAAGATGCGTCATTTTCCTTCTTAAGGTGCATATATTTAAAACTTAAGGTGTGTCACTTTTCTAGTTTAAGGTGCATTAGTCTAAAGCTTTAGGTGCATCTTTCCATAGCTTAAGGTGCGTTGTTTTCCTTCTTAAGGTACACCACTTTTCTAGTTTAAAGTGCAGTTTAAACTTAAGGTGCGTTGTTTTATAACTTAAGGTGCATCAGTTTAAACTTAAGGTGCATTGTTTTATACCTTAAGGTGCGTTGTTTTATAACTTAAGGTGCTTAGATTTATAACTTTTGAGATCAGTTTGAGACTATAGAATTGAATCTTCAGATGAGTTTGAGATCACTACAGTGACGTGGCTATTGAATCTCTAGAGGCTATAGAATTGAATGCAGACTATAATCTTCAGAGGCTATAGAACTGAATCTTCAGATCAGTTTGAGATCACTGCGTAGGTGTTTTTTAAATAATTTTTCTTGATTTGAGCCGTTGATCTAAATTAGATCAACGACTCAGATTTCACCCCGTCTTTCACCTGGGAACTCCTTCAATTCGCACCTGATCTCTTTTATATATATATATATATATATATATATATATATATATGTGTGTGTGTGTGTGTGTGTGTGTGTGTGTGTGTGTGTGTGTGTGTGTGTGTGTGTGTGTGTGTGTGTGTGTGTGTGTGTGTGTGTGTGTATATATATATACACACACACACACACCCTATCTCTCTCTCTATATATACACACACACACACACACACACACACACACACACACACACACACACACACACACACACACACATATATATATATATATATATATATATATATATATATAGAGAGAGAGAGAGAGAGAGAGAGAGGGGGGGGGGGGGGGGGGGGGAGGAGAGAGAGACACACTACATTTGTAAATTTGTAATTAATAATTTAATCATACACAACTTTAAAAATTAAATTGTTCATAAATAACAAAATTAAAATATTTATTTGATAATCACATTATATTCCATGTATCATGTAATAATGAGGACAAATAACAAATCAAATTAAAGTTACCATTGTCGATTTGTAGTAGCTAGCAACCCTTCCAATACAATATCTTATATATTGTAGAACACTTTAATTAACCTAAGGCCATAATATAATGTACCTTACCTATGAAGTTTTATAGGGTAAAAAAACAGGACACTTAAGAAACATATATAAAATGATGGGTCCATGTTTGCCCAGTCCCCCACACCCCACGCCCAGTGCACCTTTAGGTTGTCCTATTAAATTAGTCACTTTGTTTGATTGCAGTATTATAAACCCAATATTTGGGCAATGGGTCCCTTCAACTTTTGAAAAGTTGGTAAATAGCTAATGCAAGTATCTGTGGGTAAAGTTGAAGCCAGAGTATCTATTTGAATCCCATTCTAAAGTACCAAGGAAGTGGTGACAAAGTGGCATTCTGCCATTCATGAATCATCATCCAATCACATTCCTGATACTCGATCTGCCTTCTTTAAAATGCATGTTATGCGTTGGGGAAATGGAAGGGATTTTCCCAAAAAAATAAATTTTACAAATAGTAATAAGATACTTTTTTTTTTGGGGGGTGGTTTGAAATTTAAAAAGCCAAACTCCACTAATAAAAGTTAAGACATAACAAATAAATTGAGAGAGCGTGGAATCCACTCACTAATACTAGATTGAAATCTCTTGACTCTAACAAAAGAATGTGCAACAATATTGGCAGAACGCCTATCAAAAGCCACTAATGCTATCAAAATCTCTCAACCCACGAATGACCTCAACTATCGTGCCCTTGTATGAAAGACCTATAGTGTGAGAATTGATGGCTTGCTCCAAACCAAGACAATCAATTTCAAGCACCACGTGATTTTGATAGCAATGTAGACTTAAATGTAATGTGTTGGTATTTGTAAAATATTAAAATAGTTTCTAATAGTACAAGGTACAATTGAAAATCATTTCTAATAATATCAAGTATAGTCTATTATTATTGTAGATGGAATCATTGGGAAATGGTTTTCAATAATACTAAATACAATATGAAATAATTTTCAATGTACCATATTGTACCTGGTATTATCGAAAACTGTCACAAACTATTTCCAATTATACTAGGTATAATTATTGATTATACTTGGTATTATTACAAACTATTTTCAATGGTACGGTATATGATTGCTGGGATTATTATCCTCATATCATTGAGACCCTTTGATCCAATGACTCAAGTGACTTAGAAGCCCATGAAAGTTGACTCAAGAAGACAGATTTCACACAATCACCTCTTAGAGCCAAAAGTCCATAAGTTTTATTTTGAGTTTCTATGTTAAAATTATTGTCTTCGATCTATTTCTTTATATTATCAAGCTCATCCTAAAGATTATGTTGAGTTTTTAGGATTAATTTGCACCAACAATAGTATTTTTTTTTTTTTTTTCGTTTTGACCTTAACAATAGTATGATTACACTTGATATAATTAAAAATAATTTCCAATAATACAAAGTATAATTAGATAATATTAAAAATTATTTCAATATTATAATCTATGTTTGGTAAAATATGAAGAGTTTAAAATAATAGCTTATTTTAAAACGCTATCCCAAATAACGTTTTAAAATAAGTTCATGACTTTTTAATTTTTTTTATCTTTATTAATTTATAAAAATGACACAATTTACTATTCATTATTCAAAATTATAATATTTTAATTTATCCTTTTATAATTTATATCTTTTCACTTATCAACTAATTTAACAATTAATTTTACTAAAAACTTTAATTTCAATTAATTAACTTATTAACTACTAGTTTTTCAGCTTTCAACTTTTATTTAAGCGTGCCTAATAGAGCTTTATATATATAATGCGAATTATGTAATGCATTATATTTGTGATTTTTTTTTTCTTTTTTTTTTTTTTTACATATAATGCAATATGTGGCATTATCATATTTATCCATACTGTCATGCGGATGTCACATCTCAAAAAAGAAAAAGAGTAAAAGTCTAAAAGAAGAAAAAGAAATAGAAAATTGACCCTATAATATTAGCAAAGGTCGGCTGTAAATTAAACTCTTCTACTGTGTTCCCGATTCAGCCGGTCAGGTGGACTATTCTTTTGGATGAGGAGCGTTTAGTTTCTGGTTTAAGAATAGTGTTGACGTTATCTATTGGTTTGTGATGTTTGACCATTAATTGATAATTGATTGATTTAATTGATAGGTAATAGTTTATTGTATTAATTATTTTAATAAATACATAGTATTAGCTAGTTATAAAAAAAATAAATATTTATATTATATATAAACCTTTAATATATTAAACATTAATTTTATCAGTAATCCATCTTATAAAAAAATCATAATCAGTGGTATAATTCAACATAAAGTCATTTATATATCAATTTTCTAAAAATTTGAATTAAATATCTTTAAACTTTTAAAGTTCATAAAAATCTTTAAAAATTTATGAAAATTATGATTGAATACACTCACTTAGACATTCGCATAATATAATGAATTAAATTTAGTGATTTTGGTTCAAACTTCCAAGTTCCAACCAGACACACTAAAAATACCATATATACGGTTATCATCAATTCCAAAGCTATCAATATCAACCTCCCATTGACTTCCTTTAACGTAATTGTACTTAATGCGTTACTATTTTTCGAAGGTAAATATTTTTGAGATTGTTTCACGAGGTTTTATCCGTTAAATTGATTGAATTGAGATAAAATGTAATACTTATACTAGTAAATGTAATATTAAATTAAAATAAAATGTTTATTATATGAAAAATATAATAATTTTACATTTTTCATCAAAAGTATTACATTTTCCTTAACATTACTCATAAGGGAAAATATTATATTTCTGATGAAAAAGTAATACTTTACATCAAAATATAAAAGTATTACGTTTGTTCTTAGAAGTATTACGTTTTTCCTTATAAGTAACAAATATTTTATTCCGGATTTAATATTATATTTACTAGTATAAATATTACATTTGCATACATATTGACTTGATCCGACCTGATCCGTCTCACGAATAAGGATCCGTGAGACAATCTCACACAAGTGTGACCCATTTTCGAATCACTCCGTGTAGTTTGAGCTACTTATTTCTTTACTTTAAGTTCTACACACTTTACTCTCAAATCTTTAATTTTATTAATATTTATTTGATGAAAAGTGATGAAACTAATTGACCCGGACTCTAAACGGATATACTAAACTCGCATAAATTAAAGGGATAAAAATGATAAATGAGAAGAATTGTATTAGTATTGAATGGATAAGTGTATTGACGTTACAAGAATGCTGTAGAAATTGGACATGATACTGCAATAATTGAACCATACCAATTTATACAAGGAGACTCCAACTAATCTAGCTAACCTCGTAGTAAGCTATAGAACCGAGTCAAGACCCGCGCGCGTGGGCTGTAGGGTTGGGCCAAATCCAGTCGTCTAGGACCCAGAGATGGGCTCCGAGGTGTCCGGTGACAGTCCTGGCCAGGCCCAGCACGTACCCAGGCTTTAATTTGGGACTCGAATACTCGCTTCCGTGTACAATCGTCTAGCCAGCCTCATCGGGAACGCCCCTTGCTTACCCTGAACATCCGGGCTTCTTTTCACTTGATTTGAATCATTCATTTTTTTTTTGGACCGATTCTAATATTTTTATCAAAAACCTATCCTTAATTTATTGTATTGATATTTATTTGATGAAAACCTTGTGTTGAGACTTCTAGATACATTAACACTACTACACTAGCAAGTAGATTAGCTTATCTACTAATTCATTTATTACCAAAAGTCAACACTATCGTTACTGTTAACCCATTTTACCTCATTATTTTCGGCCTTAGGGCAACAATATTGTAGAATTTTCTTTTGTAAAGATTCAAATATACATGTGTACCTTATTGAAATATATTACTCAGTTTTATCTCATTTTGTTTGTTTACATCAAGTCATCAATTAACAAAATTTTACTTAAAATTATTCACAATCAAAATGTTTGTAATATTATTAGTTTAATATTATCATATAAAGTTTATATATTTATAAAACTATTTCAAAATACTACTAAATACAAAAATTTAAAATTTAAAATATAAGAATACTTATAGAAAATATACGAAGAAAGAAGAATTTATTTAACTAATAAAAAAGTAAATGAGACAAAATAAAATGACATTCAAGTAATAATTTTTAAACCATATACAAATTAAGCTTGCTTAATTTCATTTGTCGTAAATTGATCGATTTTAATATAAGTTAATTACGTGAAATTCTATTTAGAATAAAATTTGATATAAAAATAATTTGACAAATAAATTTATTTTACTTTAATTTTTATTGACTAATTAACAAGAATATTAAGACTATCCTTTCAATCATGAATTCAAATCTCATTAAAAGCTATGTTTTATATAATGTTGTGTAGATTGTAATAGAGATTTATTAGTTGGAAGCATATTATTTCACATAAAAATAGAATAATAATATTTTCTTCTCATAATTTTATCTCATAATATTCATCTTCTAATGTGAATAATTTTTTGCTCATTGACTATTATGTTCTTACAGTGTATTGGTTGATCCTACACGCTAATAAAAAAGGAATATACTAATTAATCAAATATAATAAAATTAATGAAATATTGTTACGTAAAGAAGTAAATTCAGAAATAGAATGTATTATTATTTAGAAAAAAAATCTTAATAAACATTAAATCTTAAATTTGTAAGCTGAGTTTCCGGAACAAAAGTCACAACAATAAAATGATCAAAATTTCTTCTACTTTAATCCAAAGGCAACCACACAATTTGACGTAGTACGTAGTAAAATCCTACCGACATACGTGTACTCTTGGAGGATAAAGTTTGACGATTTTAGCACAAAGTTTATTGTGCTGTTGACCTTTGCGTCCTAATATCCACTTAATTATCCTCAAATTCAAAGAAATAATATTTTTCCCTTTTTATAATTTTTTTTTTAAATATTACCAACTCTATTATAAGATACTATCTGTTCAATATACTTTCTCTAACTGTTATAGCTCAAAGAGAAAATATCCGAAACTATTATAGTTCAAAAAATCAATACCCTACCCTCTGAATTTAATTGTATGACCTTTCCTCAAAAGTAAAAGTGTCAACTGAATACAATGTACTTATCCTTTTCATAATATTTATCTAACATGATTTATTTATCATCCCTAACTACCAATGCCACACAGCTTGTATTTTATGTTTTCTTTATATATAAAAAAATGTATAAATTGACGCGCCCATCACAGTTGAAAACGACATTCCTTTTATTTTTATTTTCTTTTTGAAAGCGACATTCCTTTTACTAGGAATGAAATATGACTTTCTCCTTAGGTTCCACGTATATACCCAAGTAACTTCTATAACGCTCCTATTTTAATTATTTATAGTAATCAAAATCACAATAAATTAATTATTTTTTGGGTTCTTTTTTTTTTTTGAAAATAATTATTTTTTGGGTTCAATTCAACAAACTTTTTATCTTGTAATGTAAATAAGTAATGTAAAAAATGTATAATGATTTTTTATAATTAGGAGACTGGTTTATAATTTTATCAAATTGGAAAAACATTAGAAATTTAAAACATGATAATAAGAATAATTAGAAATCATCAAATACATAAATAATTATATAATAGAAAGTTTCTAATGTCATTAACAATTTAGAAGAGAAAACGAAAAAGAAATGTAAAATTAAAAAAATTATAAATTTATGTTACATATTATACAAGTTATCATTACAATTAATTACACCTTTCAATTTTTTATTTTTTATTTTGGGTTAGAATCATACTCTTATAAAATATATTTTGGTAAATATGAATTACATTATTCTGCATACCTTTAATTTTGATTTATTTTTGTGATGCATCAATAAGGCGACATTTAAATTATGAGTCTTTTATTTAGACAATTAGTTATTTATAATTTAAAAAATACACTTTTCACTTTCTTATTTTTCTTATAAGGTGATTTTTATTTATTGAGTCTCGGTAAATTGATTGACCCACCATTAATTAAAACATAAATGTAGCTATTAATGTCCGCATGGGTAGCTCAACTAGTCATAGAGGTAAAACTTTGGAAGAATGACCAGGGATCAAGTCTCACCAACACCCGGGGTTGGGGTTCTTCTTTTTGGAAGAATAAATTTAGCTATTAATTATATGATGCCACTTTGGAAATTAGAAGGGAAGTTTTTAGGAAAATACAAGAGGGATTCATAGAATCGTAGGTGATAACGAAAAATTTGAATTAATTTGTGAAAAAATTAGACAAGTTTACAGAACTGAATTACTCTTTCCTCTTTCCTCAACAGAATCAAAGAGATATACGACCGGAATATTGCGGGGGACCATTCCCCAATTCAGTTTCTTTCTAAAACAAAAGTAGACACATCCATACCCATAACCCATATAATCACCATAGCCACCTAACACCGCCGCGGCGCCACCGTACGTTACGTTTCGTGCGCACAGTAGTTGAGTTTTTGATGGCGAGGCTTGTAGTTGAGGTGCTGGATGCGAGTGATCTTATGCCCAAGGATGGGCAGGGCTCGGCGGATCCCTTTGTGGAGGTGAGCTTTGATGGGCAGCGCCAGAGGACCCAGACCAAGAACAAGGATCTCTACCCGCAGTGGAACGAGAAGCTGGTTTTCAACGTTACTGATCCCGGCGACCTGCCCGCCAGGACCATTGATGTCACTGTTTATAGCGAGGGGAAACATGGCCACCATAGCAAGTTTCTTGGGAGAGTCAAGCTTTCTGGGCTTTCTGTTCCGTTTTCCGAGTCGGAAGCGGAAATTCAGAGATACCCGCTTGATAAAAGGGGGTTGTTTTCACATATTAAGGGCGATATTGCGTTGAAACTCTACTCTTTGCCGGGTCTGGGTAATCCCAATCCCGCTCCGGCGCCGCCGCCGCCGGTGCCCCAAGATTTTATACCCGAGGTGCCATTGAATACCGGGAGTGGCGCTGACCCTAGAGAAACCCCCGCCCCTCCACCTCCCCCACTCCAAGAAATCAACCCCAATTTGTTCGAGGAGGAGCCGAAGATAGAGAGCGAAACCAAGAAGAAGAAGAAAAAGGAGCCGGAAGTTCGGACTTTTTTCTCTGTCGGCGCCGCCGCCGCCGCCGGAGCTGGCGGAGCCGGTCCTCCGCCTCCTCCGGTTGCCGTCGAACCCCGGAGCGATTTCATGAAGGCCGGACCGATGCCTCCTGGGCTAATGCGTATGCAAATGCCGGGCGGGCAAAGGCCGGAGTTTGGCTTAGTTGAAACCAGGCCTCCTCTAGCTGCAAGAACTGGGTATTGGGGGAGAGACAAAACCGCAAGCACATATGATTTGGTAGAGCAGATGTATTTCCTCTATGTTCACGTCGTGAAGGCCAGAGATCTCCCCGTCATGGATCTCACCGGGAGTCTTGATCCCTATGTGGAAGTCAAAATTGGAAACTACAAAGCCACCACCAGGCACTTTGAGAAGAACCAGAACCCAGTTTGGAACGAGGTTTTCGCCTTCGCAAAGGAGAATATGCAGTCCCATATGATCGAGGTAGTCGTGAAGGATAAGGATTTCGTGAAGGATGATTTCGTGGGGAGAGTTGGATTTGATATCCTTGAAGTTCCTCTCAGAGTCCCCCCAGATAGCCCCTTGGCTCCTCAATGGTACAGATTGGTGGGGAAGAAAGGGGAAAGAATCCACCAAGGAGAAATTATGCTCGCCGTTTGGATGGGAACCCAAGCCGATGAAGCCTTCCCGGATGCTTTGCATTCAGATGCTTATGGTGTTAGCCCTCACAGCATGGCTCATACTCGATCCAAGGTCTATTTCTCTCCCAGATTGTTTTATCTAAGAGTTCATGTTATCGAGGCTCAAGATCTTGTCCCCGCGGATAAAGGGCGAATGCCCGAGGCTTATGTGAGATTGCAGCTTGGCCATCAGGCCAGGACTACTAGGCCGGCTCAGAGGCACATTAATCCGATGTGGAACGAGGAGATTATACTCGTCGCCTCTGAGCCTTTCGAGGATTATTTGATTATAGATGTTGTTGATAGAGTCGGGCCTGGTAAGGATGAAGTGATTGGGAGAATGATGGTTTCGATTCGAGATATTCCACCCAGGATGGGGGAAACCAGCAAGCTTCCCCCTTCTAAGTGGTTTAATCTCCTCAGACCTTCTCACGCCGATGAGGATGAGAAGAAGAAGGAAGTGAAATTCTCTAGCAAACTCCACGTCGTTCTTTGTATGGATGGGGGTTACCATGTTCTTGATGAGTCCACGCATTTTAGCAGCGATCTTCAACCTTCGTCCAAGCTCTTGAGGAAGCCCAGTGTTGGGATTCTTGAATTGGGGATTCTGAATGCCCAGAATCTGCAGCCGATGAAGGGGAAAGACGGTAGGCTTACCGATGCTTATTGCATAGCCAAGTATGGGAACAAATGGGTTCGAACAAGAACTGTGCTCAACAACCTGAATCCCCGATGGAACGAGCAGTATACGTGGGAAGTGTTCGATCCCTGCACGGTGATAACCATTGGCGTTTTCGATAATTGCCACATCCATGGCAAGGAGGACGCGAGAGACCAGAGGATTGGTAAGGTGAGAATTAGGCTTTCGACTTTGGAAACCGACAGAATTTATACTCATTTTTACCCGTTGCTAGTGCTTCATCCATCCGGGCTTAAGAAACACGGTGAGCTTCATTTAGCGATACGGTTTACTTGCACCGCTTGGGTGAATATGGTGGCGCAATACGGGAGGCCATTGCTTCCCAAGATGCATTACGTGAACCCTATCTCGGTTAGGCACATCGATTGGCTTCGCCATCAGGCGATGGTCTTAGTTGCTGCAAGGCTGACGAGGGCCGAGCCCCCTCTCAGAAGGGAGGTGGTCGAGTATATGTTGGATGTGGATTACCATTTGTTTAGCCTTAGGAGAAGCAAGGCGAACTTCAATCGCATTCTCTCGCTTTTCTCCGGGGTTAGTGCCGTCTGCCGGTGGTACTATGGAATCTGCTACTGGAAAAACCCGTTCACGACCATCCTTGTGCACGTGCTTTTCTTGATCCTCGTTTGCTACCCGGAGCTCATCCTCCCCACGGTTTTCCTATACCTCTTCGTGATTGGCCTGTGGAACTACCGGTTCAGGCCTAGGAACCCACCCGCCATGGACGCACGCCTTTCTCTGGCGGATAGTGTCCATCCCGACGAACTGGACGAGGAATTCGACTCGTTCCCGTCGAGTAGGCCTAACGAGATTGTGAGATTGAGGTATGACAGGCTGAGGTCTGTGGCGGGGAGGGTGCAGAGCGTTTTGGGGGACTTGGCAACGCAAGGGGAACGAGCTCTCGCCATTTTAAGCTGGAGGGATCCCCGGGCTACAGCCATATTCATCATCTTTGCTTTGATCTGGGCTGTGTTTCTTTATGTTACGCCTTTCCAAGTGATAGCGGTTCTCGTGGGGCTGTTCATGCTGCGCCATCCCCGGTTCAGGGGCAAGCTGCCATCGGTGCCCGTTAACTTCTTCAAGAGACTGCCAGCGAAATCAGACATGCTTTTGTGAGATTTTAAGGTTGTAATTATCAATCAATTTTTCTGGTTCAGTTCAAGTGTAACATATATGTATGTATGTATGGTTGAGTAAATAAATGGAAGGAATAAACTTGGCAGAAGAAGAAGAGACATAGCAGTGAAAGTGAGTTCCCTTTCTTTTGTCTCCCCCAGAATCAGAATCAGAATGTACTTCTTGTGTAGTGTTCATATGCAGCAGGGGAGGGGATGGGATTACAATTATATTCCTTTTGTTTCCTATTCCATTGTAGATTAGATGATATTCAATATTGTATTGATTATTGGATTATGAGGCCATCAAATAAATTCATATAACCTCTCTTATTTCTTAACTTAATTCTTATCAGTTTCTCCACTTGAAACATGCTTAGTTTTTGTCTTTGTTGTCAGATGAGGAGGCTGAGTCCTTTATAATTTCACGACTTCCAAAACTGACCATATAGGCATTATACCAACTCGTGTAATCTTCTCAGTGGCTGATGGCAAATTATAAGGGTCGTTATATTATGGACCGGCGATTATGCACCGCGCATCAAAACGGCGTTGTTTCTTTTAAGTAAAGAAACATCGCGCTATTAGTGTTAACGGAGTGACACTACAGTGTATTTAACGGACACTGCCTCACATATTATTTTTTATATTATAAAATGAAACTGTAGTTATATCATACTGTAATTGTGGTGAAATAAAACTGCAGTATATATAAAATGAAACTGAATAACATTTCACATATTTGAGTGTATATTGTACAATGAAGCTGTAATTATATCGAAATGATCATGTAGTTGTGTTATAATGAAACTATAGTGTATATAAAATAAAATTAAATAACATTTTCACATATTTGAGTGTATGAATATTGAATGAAACTGTAGTTAAATCGAAATGAAACTGTAGTTGTGTTGAACTGAAACTGCAGTGTATATAAAATGAAACTGAATAACAAAGTTATTTTTTGCGGAACGACGCAAAATAGATTCCGTTTCTTTTAATTAAATAAAACGACGTCGTTTTGATGCACGGTGCATAATCGATTATGCACCGCGGTGCACGATATAATTTGCCAAATTATACCATGGAGCAAGGGTATTATCATGTTAAAAAATGACATTCACATTATGTGTTTATAATTAACATATTAGGTGAATTATGTGCCTGTAAATTAAATTGAATGCACATGATACATTAACTTCATATTATGTCTTCAATTAATATATTATGTGTCATTAATTTATTTACAGGTACATAATCGGTTAAATGATGTCACATAAAATATGTTAATTGGAACACATAATAATTTGTAGATCATAGTTTATAATACAAGATAGACCTTGATCCATGGTAGAACATTTGGTAGCTAATGTACCCTGTATACTCCTCGGGTCAATCACAAGCATCGCTATTTTAAAAAAGATTTTGGTACATTGAAACCAAAAAAAAAAAAAAAAAAAAAAAAAAAAAGCTGTTAAAAAAAATAATTAAAGTTGTCATTTATTTAATGTGGTCATTCTGAGATATAATTTTGAGTGAGTCTATATTTCAGTTTTTATAAGTGGACTATGGTACACACAACACTACGGATCATAGTTGTCAAATAAAACTGTAATAAAATTAAAATGATACTTTAGTGTTGTTATAATGAAACTAGTGTGCGTAGAAAATGAAACTAAAAAAATAAAGCTAATTCAATAACGTAAATTATCAAATTAAATTATAGTATAATTAAAATGATACTTTAGTGTTGTTACACTGAAATTAGTGTGTGTGGAAAATGAAACTAAAATATAGAGCAATACAATAACATATATTGCCAAATGAACCTAAGGTGTAATTATAATAATCCTTCAACATTACTATAATTAAACTAGTGTGTGTATTTTCAAAAAAAAAAAAAAAAAACTAGTGTTTGTATAAAATGAAACTAAAAAATAGAGTTTATGCAATAATGTATATTATCAAATTAAACTATAGTAGAATTAAGGAAAAATTGTACTTTTCGTCTCTAAGTTATAAAGTAATTGTAGAATTCATCCTTAATTGTTGGTTTTTCTCACTTTTCGCCCCTAAGCTATAATTAACATTGCACTTTTCGTCCATTTACTAACAAAACATTAGGGAAGAAAAGTCAGCACTAGAAGTTAGCTTATGGACGAAAAGTGACCACGAGAAGTTAATAAAAACAACGAAAATGGCATCACCAATGATATCTTATTAGCTTAGGGGGCGAAAAGTGAGCAATACCAACAATTAGGGATGAATTCTACAATTACGCTATAATTTTGGGACGAAAATTGCAATTTTCCGTAAAATTAAAATAATACTTTGTTTGTGAAAAATTAATCTGAAAAACAAGCAATACTGTCAAATGAAACTAAGATGTAATTAGAATGATACCTACTTCATGGTCCACGCTGCTACATGGATCATGCTCCATAGTAAAATTTTATTCTATATTTAATTTGAGTATGATCAAAGTGGATTCAAATGCTCCTAGTTGAGATGATGAATTTGATATATTATATACTCAAAATTGATAAAAGATAAATGATAAATTGATTCTCGAAGTGTATTAAACTATTCATTGAGTATGGAGAAATGAGGTTAGAAAGGTTTTTATGTACCCTTTGTCCCACATTGAAAATGACTGGTTTTGCAAATCAAAATCCAAAATCAACTTTTCAAAGAGTTCAAATTGTGCAGCCAATGACTTTTTGTCACCGTCACAAGGTTGGATTCTAGGCTGTGTAAACTAAGACTACAACACAAATTTTAAATTTTAGAGGCCCAATATTTAATTTTTACTTAATTAATTTAGAAATAAAAACTAAATTTTTTTAATTAAACTTAAAAAGCTCCATGAAAAAATAGTAAGAACTTGTGTTTATTGTATTTCAATTTTGACTTGGAGGTCAGAACTTCAAAACTTGTGTGTTGGTATAACTTTCGACATCTTCCTATTTTTTTAATACTTTTACATTGCGAGTTTGCATACAGTATTATTATTATTATTATTATTATTGTTGTTGTTGTTGTTGTTGTTGTTGTTGTTGTTGTTGGACCTCCCCACAAAAATCTAAAAACTAGCCATGCCTGCCTGTAGGGGTGCATGTAAAAATTCAAAATGAGCTTCAAAAGCTAGAAGCAAACCAAATTCTATTTTTAATTTTGACAATTGTTAGAGAGTAAAATAGGGAAATTACACTTCAAACCTTAAATAGATTTTAACTTAAATGTAAAATCCATTATTTTAGATCAACGAACCTCAAATGGAATTTAACTTATTGAGTGAAATTCATTATTATAAATCAATTTGCACTATAATAAATCACTCGAACTTTTGAGCTGACTAGACCATCCAGGTCGAGGGCATTAATTCCAATGTATGGTATGGTGCGACCCCGGCCCCGACAAAATCATAGACAAAGTTGTTAGATTCAAAAAGTACGTTTAATTAAACTGCATTTAACAGGAACAAATAATGGGATACAATAGTAGTTGAGTGAATAGTGATGAAATAAAATCAAGTTGAGTCAACTGCATACTGAGAGGGACTGAGAAGGGAAGGGGATTTATGATCACACCAATTATCTCATCAACCAAACACAACTACCACCATTATTACTATGGAATTGGGACAAGATGAGATGAGATTCCGACAACATAAATACAACTGTTTCGTAGATACTAATGATAGATGTTTGGTTTTTGAGAATAAGTCAACTAACAATTAAAATAGCACATGCACTGATAGCCCTCTCGAAGCTTGGAATTGGCTAAGCAAACTCCATTCCCATTCTTTACTTGAAAGCAACGCAGCTTGCAGGAAGAAAGGTTACATCCATCTGATTCCATCACTGCCATGCACCTCCCTTCACCTTCACTCATTATTACACTCTCCCCTGAAATATAAATGAATATATAACAAACTTAATTCACAAATTTGTTAAAGAAACTAAGTAAATATTGTTAAGACTTATTACTGTATGGTATTGTCAGTAGTAGTTCGCCTATTCATTTGATTTTGTTGTAACTCGTTTCCTTTTCTTCGGGATTGTTCTCTATTTATTCTGTTGCCTTGAGGTGAATAAACGTGTACTATTCAGTCTCTTACAAATATAATTCCCTTTCTCTTTCTTGTTTGTGATGTATTTGTGGTGAATTATGGCAACATAATAACACATACAAGAAATTCTATAACGTTTGCATTGAATTGCAAGAATCTTTTTTTTTTTTTTTTTAATAAAGAAAATACCCGAGATGATAATAATTAAATTTGCATTAGTATATTGTTAGGATCAATCGGGTCATATTTTTGAGAAATAAGATGCTAGACTTAGCCCGACTTGAACTCGCTCAGCTCGTAGCGAAGGCGCGCACAATTTTATATTCTTATATACCGCGCGCCACAGTTTCGAAAGACAATATATTAGACTTGACCTTTCACCGGCCTCCACCCAACAATCGGCTAACCACCCACTGCTGAACTTGACCCTTCACTGGCCTCCGCCCAACATATATATATATATATATATATATATATATATATATATATATATATATATATATATATATATATATATATATATATATATATATATATATATATATATACTGCTAGTCAATAAAAGTCAATTTCATGCACTACTAAGACGACATCTAAGTTTATTTTGTGTGTGCAAGTGGCCGGACTCTTAGCTAGGTGTGCTATTAAGTGGCTAAAAATGAAAATAAAAGGGATTTTAAACCTGGAGAGACAAGGATAGCCATTGACAAAGCAATAAAAATGAAGAAATGTTGGAGCTTCATCTTCAACTTCTAAATTGTTGTATGATCGAAATGCCTTAATTTCTGTAAACCTATTTGCAACTACAACTGTGTTGTACCATGGTGCTATATATATGCACTAAATTCACACAAGTTGGAGTTTATTATATATGTAGAAATCCATTTCGTACAGTTTCCATATGAAAAAGGTAGACTAAAAATATGGTTATTTTCATTATCTTTTACAAGAAGAAGAATATTTTAGATTTTCTGATATTAACAAAAATGATTGTTGGGTTACATGCTTTATGTCTGATTATGGCACGATATTGGGGAGGAAATACCTCTTGAGAAAATAATAAGCATATTTAAATTTTGTTAAAGAAAGAAAAGAAAATGAATAAAAATTGTGATCCCGTTCTTTCTCTAACCAATCAGAACATGTCATGTTTGTAATATATGAAAAAAAATTGTAAAAAGTGGGAGTACATATAGCAAAATGTTACTATACTTTTTGAGAGTCAAGATTGGCAAGTGGGATTGTGGAGCTGGTAAAGCTTCAAAAAGAGATATTCATGAATGCCTTTTTTTTGCAAGTGGGAGTAGCTAATATAGGATAATTAGTTGAGCTCCCACCAAACTGAGAGTGGCTTATTAACATTGAATTGGTTGTGAAATTGAAAGGACAATATCCTAAATCATTTCATGACTCTTGTTAACACTTAACAACCATTACCAATATAGTGTTTGTCCAAATATATATAATGCATTTAATGTCAAGCAGGCCCGGTCCAATCATTTTATAGGCCCCGGGCGTAGCAACAAAAATGAGCCCTATATGAAATTAATATACTACTTCCGTTTCATTTTATTTGTCTGGTTTGATTAAATATATATATATATATATATATATATATATATATATATATATATATATATATATATATATATATATATATATATATATATATATATATATATATATATATGCTTCGAATCCGGTGCACTCCCTCTAATAGATGAGACCATGAGGCCTCCTAATATCCATTGATTCAATTTCCATCAATGGTTAAGATTATAAGAGATTAGGGTAGTAATTAAGGACATTTTCTAATGTAAATGATATATTAGTAATTGTAATTCTAATTTATTTATGGACATAATATTATTGGAATATGTAGCATTAAATTAGGGAGTTTATGGATGGAAATTAATACTTTGAATTACTACAAAGGCTGATGAGGTGAACTTGGCGTGAACAAGGCTTGAGGAGAAAACGAACGGGTAAGTGCATTTACGTGCCATCGTCTGTGCATACGCTGAATATTGGGGTTTTTTTCCACTAGGATGGTGGGAGCGGGGTGGGGGTTGGTGGACGAACTAGAATATCTGTTATGTGCATAGCGTGTGCGTGTTCAGGTGGTTGCATACAGGTCTGTTTGTGAAACCGATATGTTGACGGGAGGATGCATAGACAACAATGAGTGTATTTCGCCTGTGAAAGATTGTGAAAAAAAAATCACAACAACAATCCTTATAATATGGAACCACTATATGCACAGGCCTTTTCTTGTGCGTGATTTCTTGTGGTTGGCTTGTTTTACAAGGAATATATTGTAAAAATTAATAGTTTTTTTTTTTTTTTTTTTTTTTTTTTTTTTTTTTTTTTTTTTACAGTGGTGTGCGCATTTGTATGATTTGGCGTTTGCAAATTTTTGGAAAATGAACTTAGCATCATGTCGTTTTTTTAGTTTTGTTTTTACACTGGTGTGTGCATTTTTATGGTATGGCGTGTGCAAATTTTTAGCAATGGAACTTTGCATCATGTGGTCTATTGTACACGTCATAACACTCCAACGCACACACCAAACACAAAAAACAAAAGCATATGAAGAAATGCAAAGGTCATGCGCTTTTATATTCTACATGCAATAACATTAAAAAAATATCATGGTTTATATACATTAAAAAAAAAAAACCAACAAGAACTAACGCACACACCATACTATAACAATGCACACACCGCTGTAAGATTGCATTTTAAAATAAAACGGTAATAAAGGCGTGCGCATTAAACTGGTGTGTGCTTAATGAAGTAGGTGAATGCGTAGGAATGAGCACGTAGATATTTGCTAATTAGGTTCTATTTCACAATCTATGGCCTGTGCGCACACGGGTGACAGTGTGTGCGTAATGCTGGTGACAGTGTGCATTCGAGGTATAAGGCGCATGTGTTATGCTGAAATTCTATTATTGCACAGACGTCATTATTATCATGCACATAGCAAAATGTGACAGTGTATATCGCGCAGCAGATTCCCACATACCAGAAATGTGATGCGCACAAACTACAATGTGGTAACGAAAAAAGAAAATGTAGTCCCAACAAAACATAAATTGATCATTGACCCGGCATAGCCATTTACTAATAAAAACTTTAGGAAATGAAAACAAAATGAAACAAATCAAGATACAATCATCTAAGGCTCATGGAATAAAAATAGCAATATCAACTATATAAGATATAGGGAATAACATATTTAATGTAGATTAGCAGCAAATAAGGCTCTTTAAACTTCTATATGCCAGATGAATAGCTTCAATCCCTTCCTTTTCGTGAGCAACAACAACATTAGGAACCCACGTCCATAGTTGAGTATCATTTGTGATCGTGGGAATATAAGGCAAAGGCTACAAAAGAAATAAATATGATTATAGACATTAACAAAGAACAACATGCATCAAAATAAGTTAACAATATTCCATTGTCAATGAGAAGATTGCAAGAGCAAACATTAATAGGGGTTTGCAAAAACATTTAACATCATAAATAATTCCAATTTTCCACATCAAAGTGGAGTATAATTATGATGGAGGGATGACAATTAAAAACCAATCTGCAGGCACCCACTCGCACCCAATACGCACAAGTAAGGTTTTTTCAAGGGTGGTGGGTGGGGATTGGGTGTGGATGTGAAAATTAAATCCCATTCAAATCCATTGCCAGCAGAGGGTGAAACTCCCACTCAAATCCATCCGAAGCGCAGACCATATATAGCAAAATAACAGAGATCATATATCTTAAACACAACATGACTCTTGTTTTTCCAGAAACTCACTTCATAAAGCTAAAATCTTCCTACAATTTTTCAGCAACCAATCACAAATATTTCGACTAAAGTTATGAATCTCCAGATCTACTTGCATCAAGTCCAAAAACTGAAAACAAAACCCCTGAAGATAAATTGGAATAAGGGTATCAAACAAGTATAAATGAATAAGAACAAACTTGTTTCCCCCATTTTTCCTAAAACTTGATAGATGAAGCAAAGCAACCAAGGGAACCTAGTCATTACCATCCTACAACAGTCACCCACCATCCTACAACAAGCACCATCGAGAACATACTCTCACCGGCCGGAACCCCAACCATCCGACAATGGTCACCCAGCACTGCCAGACCAAAACCCCCCAAATTGGTACAAATTACCAGGTCTAACATCCAAAAAAAAAACAAAATACACCCAACCCTGCGGAACCCTAAACCCCCCAAAAGAAAAATAAAAAAAAAACATGAACGAACAAAAAAAAATCACCTTCCTTTCAAAAAAAAAAAAAAAAAAAAAAAATCACCGCCACTACCCATAGCTCCCACCATGCCGGAAAAATCATGAAAACAAATACACAATGAAACCCAATAGAAAACGAAAAGAAAACATGAAATCAGAATACCTTGTTGACACCCGGAAGAATTCCTCTTTTGTCGCTTTGAATGCCTGAAGAAAGAGCTAGCCATTGAGATTATCACGCCACTACAGGCAGAAGCGACATCAGAAAATCCACTAGCTCGACAAAGACGGATGAGCGAGCGCCGAAAAATTATCGAGGAAGATTAAACTCTGTGGAGACTGAGGAGTGAGATATTTCACAAAGCTACGATCGAAAAAAAAGAATTGAGAATAAAAAAGATTTTTCACCTTCCAATAAAAAGTAAGAAATAAATAAGGTAATATAATAAATATAATGCCAAAAAACTAGAATGCCCCTGCCTAGTAAATAAATCAGCTCACAGCCTTAAAAATGCAAAACAATCTCATGCTTTGAAATGAAAAAAATAAAAGACCAGGATCTAGGCTCACGAGCTCACCTGGCAAGAGGGGATGCACCGGATTAAATATATATATATATATATATATATATATATATATATATATATATATATATATATATATATATATATATATATATATATGTAACTGATCACCCTAAATACTTGATCTCCAATCACACCAAAAGCTGTAGTCTTGTGATGTCAATGATCCACAATTCTCTTTTAACACGAAAGAAGGAATCCATGTACTAAGTATTTTGATACAAAAATACAAGTGGTTATTCTCATTCAAGAAACTTGATTAGTTAGGTTTACTTCCCTTTCGAGACAGAAATATTTCACAAAGTTTCTTTGTCCTTCGGTGCTTAGCCATTTACTCCAAAAACCAATGATCAATTCACCTTGAGTTACTTTGCCTTTGAACTTAGAAAGAGGTAAAGGCTTGCAACCCCAACTCCCTCAAGGAGAACTTTAAGTAGTAGCAGTTTTCGATCTATCTATGCGAAGCCTTCCAAGGTTGAACAACTTTTGGAGTTGAAAGATTAGATAGAGAAGCGACAATTTACGTGTTCATGTAGCAAGGGAGCCCAAAAGCACTACTTAAAATTCTTTTGGAGTTGGAGAGACAAGGAAGGGGACATCGAAAGAAGAAATAAATAAACTTGTTGGCAAGATTGTGAAAGCTCGTGGCATATCTACTTTAGGGAAAGCAGTGTAGGAGGAGCATGATCAGAAGATATACCAAGCTAGGGTTGTATTGGAAGAGATCAACTACAATTACTTGCATGGGTGCTTTGGAAAAGATAAGAAGGCTACCTTCGAAGCACTCAAGAAAGGTGGTTTAGATGAAGTCTTCAAATTTCCTCAACATTCCAGGGTACAACAAGGAGAAGTTTAACAGTTTCCTGCGTACCTATTAGGAGTTCGAGAAGTAGCGGAGGAAGAATTTGAAGATGAAGATCAAGACCTAATAATGGTACAACAAGTTGTATATTGAAGTGAAGAATATAGGAGAAATGGCCAAAAGAGTTAAAGAGAATATGGAGAACAGACCATACAAGAGACTAAGGAGGTAATAAGGTTGGTGATGCTGAAACTTAGGGGAGGAATTGGGCATTAGGAGGTGTAAGGAAGATTATCTATGTTTTTGTTTATAATTTCTTTTGAAAATTTTGTAATATGTTGTACTCACTTGTTTCGAGTAATAAAGGTTGTTCTTTTGAGGGTGTGTGAGTACTTAGTATATACCATTGAAACTAGGGAGATGCTACTAGGTGCCAACGCCACTCTCGTGGTCGTTGGAATCTCAATTAGCTTCAAGCTCTACTCTCATCGTGACTCAAAGCCATTGAAGCATTTTATCAAACATGTGGTGTTCGCATCTCTTTCCAACCCCTTTTTCTCAAAGGTGAATTGGATTAGTGAGAGGTGTGGCTATGGTGTTGCTTTATTCTCATAGTAACAACACTTTGTCCATGTACCGCTTGCATAATTTGGCCACAACCATACAAGAGTCCATACAAACCATCAAACTCACAACTAGATTCATCATCAAATCATTACACTAGCTCATAAATCAATTAAATCACATAGCATCAATCACAAAAGATGACTTAATCCAATCCCTAATTGAATCTAGCTAAGCATGGATTGAAATGTAAATGAAAGCATTAATTGAAACAAGAGACATTATAATCAAATTTGGAAGAAAGAAAATGCAAAAGAAACATGAAAGACTTCACTTGAATTAATAAGAACTAGGGAAAATGAAATCTGAAAATTCAAGATGAAATATGGAAATGTTCTTCAAATGTTTCCAGAGGTTTTCTCTCCCATAAAAACTTGGAGAGAGAGTGGAGAATGAAAAGTTGTCTAAAAATAACCACTTAGGGCTATTTATACCCCTCAAATCACTCTAAAAATACCATTTAAAAAGGATTCTGGGCCTGTGGTCGCGATCGAGTTCACGCCGTGACCTCGACCATGACCACCCACTATGCGCAGTAGTTCTAGTTTCTAGGCCATTTCTCACATTGTAGACGTTCGAACTAGCCTTTGTGGTCTTCATGAAAGTTGTAGCCATTTGCATTTCCGTTCGAATGCCACTTAAAATCACCTCATTTGGACACGCTTAGCTCGAGATATGCTCAAAATACCGAGACGTCACCTGGCAGAGAAAAGTGCAAATTAAAGCAAAATGTAGTCACGTTGGTAGTCACGTCGTGAATGCTAGTGTGACCCATGTTTTTCACTTCAAAATGCGTATTCTTCTCATTTG